CTTGTCTTGGTCCTTGCCGCACCTTGTCGGGGTTCTTTTTTTATCAATCCGGGTTCTTTCTGGACTAGCTCTCAGGAGCGTGTTTTTTCTGATCTCATGGTACGGATGTAGCTCCCCTGCATGTTAAACATAAAAATATGTTGTAAATGACATTCCGGATATGAAGTCGGGAGCATGTCCCATATTTGGATAATCAATCAGGGGCGGGCCCCGGCATCATAAAATGCATATAAACTCTTTTTTTTGCGTCTTGCTCTTGTTAGGCCATGCAAATTCCTCAGGTAGTGTCCTGTTACGTTTAAGCACTTGAATCTCTGGCGTATGGTTCAGAGGTTCATGACGTGACCATGTGAGCTCGGCACTTTTCGTTTCGGACCGTCCATGTGGGTAGACAAGCTTCACGGATTAAGGCGTGTTCTACCCGAGGAATTGGCGACATTAACGAAGAAGACCTAGAGCACCATGTTTGCTCGCATGATGATTTTTGTGTCTTCCCTTGCTAGGTCGGTTAATTTCACGGGTAGTAGCTCGTTACGTTTAAGCACTTGAATCTCGCGTATGGTTCGAGAGGTCCATTGGCGTGACCACCCGTATGGTTCGTGAGGTTCTTTGACGTGACCATCCGTATGGTTCGAGGTTCATTGATTGACCATCCATTCGAGAAAGCAAGCTTCACGAATTAAGGCTTACTATCCGAGAAAATTAACAGCCGTTAAGGGAAGATGATATGGCCACAGAGGCATACGAATAATATCCGGAATATATAAAAAATGAGACGTGACTTAGCTTGGTTCGTGGCCGCGTTGTTGATGAAGCTGTGGCGGTCGTTGATGAAGCCGGACGGTTGTTGATTCCGACTAGTTGTCGACGGTGTGAGGCCCGCTCCCGACTAGTTTTCTAGTTGAGATGAGTAGTCGGAGTAGTCGTCGGCGGACGTCGCGGCATGGTCGAAGTAGCCGTCGGTGAGTTGTCCGTCGAAGTAGTCGAGACGAGTAGTCGAAGTAGACGTCCGCGGGTTGCTGAGCGCTCTCGCGAAGTTGAAGTAGTCGTCGGCGAGTCTTATGCGGCCGTCAATCAAGTGCGCAGCAGAGTAGTTGGACATTTCGGACGAGTAGTTGGATACCACGTCCAAGCAGTTGGTTGTAGACATGTCGAGCATCCGGAACTCGTCAACGACTAGTTTGTTGGTTCTGAGTAGTAGTCGAGGTAGTCATTGAGCATCGCGGCGGAGTCGGCGGGTTGTTGTAGTGGTAGCCGGAATCCGTCGTCGTCGTGGAGTACTCGGAGAGTGTTGCGCTATTACCGGGTTGTCGTAGTGGCCTGCTTGCTTCCAGTCGGATGGCTTGCTTGTTGGCTGGCTGCTTCTTTGGTCGTTCGTCTTGCTTCATGGTCAGTCCTCCGTATCCGAGTTGATCTTGATTTTGTACCGTTCATACTGAGGTCTTCGTATCCGAGTTCATCTTAACTTTTTGCGTTCGTGCAGACTCGGTGTACTTTTGTCTAGCCTGCAGCTTTGGGTTTTCTTGTGTGCCGTCCTCTTTTTGGCTTGGCTTCCGTATCCGAGTTGTTATGTAGATCGCGTGTTCTTCTTGCTTAAATCGTATCCGAGTACTCGGACTCCTCGGCCGAGCAGTCAGTCTTGGCTTGCTTGTTATCTGGCTTGATGCACGGTTGGACATCTTGTGTGTTCGAAGTAGTCGGACACTCGAACGGATAGGTTGCTATCTTTGGTCTCGGACGGCTTGCTGCTCGTGGCTTGATTCTGATTTGGCTTTGATATTTCAGAGTTGTAGATGTGATGTCAGCCTGTATATGACTTGACGTGTGCTTGCACCTTGTTGGATCGTTCGTATCCCATCATGATTTATGCGTCCAGTAAATTGATGGCTTCCTCGTTTGCTTGCATGCAGATCCGTATGTGCATGTGTATTCAGTGTATATATGCATATATCTTAATCTTTTGATTGCTATTGCTTCCCGGACGTCATATGTGCATGTCGTGGTTGTACTCTGCCCTGTCCTGGTCGAATCCGATCATGTGCTGGAAACTGAGCAATAGTCTGATTGTAATCGGACAAATGCATATTGATGGAGGAACGTGTGTGGCCGCATGGCTCCCTGTTTTGTGAACGCACTATGGATCTCAAGTTGTCAGAAGTCCAGGGGAGTCCCATCGTTGCTTGAGACGTGAGTGCGGCGAGTTGTCGACGAAGCTGATGAGAGCCGTAGGGAGTTGTTGACGGGGCCGACGAGTGCCGCGGCGAATGTTGATCTTTGAGGTCCACCGAGCTCTCAAACACAAAGCGCCGAGAGTCCGTACCTGACGCGCCAGCTGTCGATGTTTTACCACCGGCAACCCGTCACGGGGTACCCGGGACGGTGATTTGTTCGGAGGGATATCGGCGTTTGCAGGAACTCGATGGTAAACGCAGGAAGATAATGATTTATACTGGTTCGGCACGCCGGAAAGTCACGGTGCCCTACGTCCAGTCTGGTGTGGATAGTATATTGCGCCCTGCGCTATTTGTTGTGTTGCGAGGTATGTTGCGGTTGTGAGTTCTGTCGGTTATGTGTGTGTAGGTCTAGGGACCCCTGCCCTCCTTTATATAGTTCATGAGAGGCGGGAGTCCTAGTCGGTTACAAAGTAGAGATTCTAATAGGATTACGTGTAACTAGTTCTAGTAGGATTACATGTAGGGAATTCTAGTTGGACTAGGTCTTCTTCTCTCTTCTCCGTGGGAAACCCCATGGGTCCCGCATCGACAGAGTGGTGGAGAGAGAGAGAGGTGGAGTGAAAAACCCTAAAACCCCCGTATATATAAGCCCGATAAATTAGAATTGGATATGGGCCTTGCTGGTGTGTCTATTGGGCCGTGGCCTTTTTCGTGGCGGGCCTTATAATGTGTCCGCCACGGAAAATCGATTTACCGTGGCGGGCACCTTAAGACGGCCGCCACGGTTAATAGGGTATTTTATGTGGCGGGCATCTTAATATGCCCGCCACGGTAAATCGTTTTACTGTGCGGGCAAAAATGTCCGCTGCGGAAAATAAAAAGTGCTCGCCGCGGTAAATCGTGGGATTTACCGTGACGGACAAAAATAGGAGCCCGCCACGGAGACCTTCGGGACGACGCTGCGCAAATTGAATTTTATAGTAGTGGATGCCACCACTCGAACAATGAGAAAACCTGGGTAGCTGCCACCCCTGTTGTAACTGCGTTGGGCTCCCTCAAGCGCCCCAACTTGCTCCTGCTATAGCTTGCTCCATGCTGCCCCGCCGCTCTCGCTCTCTTCGCTTAGGCCATCGATCCTCACCGCATCTGGGTCTCTTCGTTAGGCAAGCGCCACTGTCTCTATCAATCTAGGTAGGTGTCAATGCAACCGGCTACCGGATCGATCCAGCAATGGATGTGACTCGTGAGAGGGAGATAAGGACTAGCTGGTAGAGCGACAGTGAAAATGACCTGAAAGAAGGAAAACACCTATAGATGGCTAAACGGACAGCCCGGCCCTGGCACTATTGACACAGCACTATCCAGGCTTGGCCCGTTTGGCCATCTATAGAAATACCTGTTGCCGGAATGGGGTTGGACACAAGTGAGGCTCGCCAGCAGGCCTCGTAATCTGTTTGAGCCTAGCGTGGAATCAAGAGTCACCTTATGTATCTAATCCTCTTCTCTCTCTTCCAAATAAGCAGCAAAATGCTAGGTTGAGAACTAGCTGTAGCTAAGGTGTCTTTCGTTGCTGGAGCTGACCTAAACCATGAGCGAGGCATGGCTGTGCTGTTTTCGTCGTATTGACGTGGTGCCGACCAGCCGAGTACGCCCTCGTGACCGGGCCATCTATCAGGCCATGCCATGAACCATATGCTCAGACGCTCAGTGCGTAACCACAACCACGTGCTCGCTCGCTCGCTTGCTTCCTGCCTCACCGAAGAGTTATTTGATTATTGTTATTACTCCTACTGTCTTGTAGGAGTACCGGTTACTAAAAGCCACGACCACCGTGCGCTAATCATCATCACGCCCACACCTCCTGCCTGCCTGCCTGCAGTCGTCCATGTCCAATTGTCCTTGCATGGCCATGGCAGGAGCAGCAGCTGGAGCTCCGTACGGAGGCCGGCCCACCAGGTGACCAGCTCTGTCTCTTCTTTTCGATCGATCCGGGCGCGGCTTGGGAGAGGACCACACTTCAGAGCCCCGAGCCCGCGGACAGACAAGCCCTTGATGCTTCTTCCCGTGCTCCGCGTATTCAGTATTCACTGGCTGCTACTGCACCCAGCTTGAGCTTCCAGTGCCAGCCAGCTTCAGCAGGTTCTTTTTTTGCCAGAGTTGCTGTCACCTGATGATGACGTGTCATCCCAGGCCAACTGCTACTTGCCAGCATGCAATGCAGACTCAAAATCGAGGTGCAAGTGCACCTCAACGCTGCCACAGCGAACAATCAGTACGTTGTTCTGTACGACATCACATGGGACATACAGGAAACAAGTAGTAACAGCAAACATGGAGAATTTCGATCTGATGCTAATTTAATCCAGGGGTGGGGTGATCCAGATCCAATACAGATACAGGGTACCAACTAATCCAGCACGTAAGGTAAGGTAATAATCCAACACAAGAATTAATCGACAAGGTCGCCTAAACAACACACGCCGCCGCTAGCACACTCAAACTGTGGTGGTAATGGTAATAGCTACTACACACACGCACTCTCAGACAATGGGTGTTACAAAACCCTACCAGGTAGGGGGGGGGGGGGGTGTACAGCACTGAGGTAAGGTCACACTGCTACAGCGAATGTAGTTGTTAGTCTCTCCTCCTGCCTGCCTCATCATACAGCAACAATTAGACCGCCCTAGCGCGAGATCTGCAGTAGACACATCTTTCACAAGTCAGGAACAAATGAACCAATCCATCTATCCATCCATGATCCATCTTCCGGCGGGGACCTTGGCTCCCAGTCAGTGCGTGGCTAGCTCCGGCTGGGTATCAGAGGGCTCATGATCCGGACGCAGTCATCTTCAGGTCCCCAGACGACGGCGTCCTGGACACCTCTGCCATCGGCTGCTGCGCAGGGGATGCCCAGCTCTGGTCCGCGCCGTAGGCTCCTCCTGAGGTCATCCCTCTCTGGGCCGCAGAGCTCTGCTGCCCTTGCTCGCTGCTGTGGGTGTCCGCGCTCGAGATCGGGACCGCGGGAGGCGTCTGAGGGACGGTAGCAGGCGCCACGTCCACCCGCGGCTTCTTGTTCTTCTGCTCCATCTGGTAGCTTGGCAGGAAGCTCCCGACCACAATCTGCCAAATGAACTCTTGACTGTCAGTTACACTTTGAGCTTATTTAGGCAACAGACAGACTATAGTTATTAGAAGGATAGACTATAGTTATTAGAAGGATAGATGGAACAATTCTGGTCATAGACTGCACACGGCATGCAGTTTTGCTAGTTCAGCTGTACAATTGAGCTTTATACTAATAGGCAGGCATTCAGATCTTGAAAAGCGGGCAAGCAAGTGCATACCTGAACAGGACTTGCTGCCACCAGCAGGCCGGCAACTCCTCCACCGACAACACGACCGTCTGGGCTCGCAAGAGACACGCTCATCCCACCTGATCGACTTCGTGTTCCGCTGCTTTCAGTTGGCATAAAGGACCCAGACAAGGACAGCAACTCAAAGCGTCCCTACAATCAAAACAGGGCATCAGATAAATGGGGTAAAGTAGGACCACTCAGAATCCTTTGTCTGCATCCACACAGACATACATATGAAACCATGTGTGCAGTAAGAACTTTTGTGTGTCAATCCATGAGTGAAAGTGTCATGCATGGCTAACCTCATAAGTTAACGTGCCACCAGAGGAATCAGGCTGACGAAGTGTAACGTTCGATATCACACCGTTTGCTGAGAGAATACAGATAGCCCGTGGTCCTTGTTGCAAAAATGATATAACCTTCATCGTCACATCCTGAACCAACAGACAAAATACAGATCACTCTTTCGCACAAAGACACAGACCACTTCAGGAAAAGGAACAGTATAGCTGTAACCGTAAGAGGAGCAGGAATTCAACAGGGAAAAATAAAGGCGGAATTCATTTCACTCTTTGATAAATTCAATAGGGATGCAAAATAAGATGTGTTCACCTCCCCTTATCTGATAAAGGAATGGAAAGGAATACTGAAACAAGAGCATTTTGGGATCATGACTTGCTTTGAAGCAAAGCATACAAAGCTGAGTGTGCAGTGCTTTGATCTCTGCTCATCACATTACTTGTAATTTATTATATGAAACAAAATGTGTGAACAGATATAAAATGATATAGGTGATCACATCAAAATTTGAAGGAAAAAATGTATTATAACTGAAGATCCAGAAAAATGATGCTTCAGGTAAGAAAGATGATGAAGGTGCATAGACTGCCTGTCTGGTCAGAACACAGAAATACTCTGAACCAGAAATCACCAAATGAGATCAAATGTAAACGGCAGTTGTACACATCATAGATAACATCTAGATCCATACCTCACCAGGAGCAACGGTAATTATATGTGGAGTGAAATTTGCACCAGCAGAACATGCCACCATGTCACCTGCCAACACATAGCGCTGTTAAGAAAGTAATGGCAGATTGTAGCAAAGCAAACTGACCAAATGAAATGACTGCAGAGTGCCAATTTGCTAGAAAAGACAGTTTAGTCTATTACGAATCTACGGCAGTGATCCCATCAGGAAATCAGGTCTGTGCAACATCATGAGAAAGATGAACATCTAGCTACACAACTGTGTCATCCAAAGATGATTCTCACTTCTACAAGTACAGAACCCCATAAATATTTCATCCACTGTGAATGTTCAGTCCCGCCATACAAACTTTTACCACCGTATTCTAGTACCCCAAGCATCACCCGAGCCATACAAACTTTTCCCACCGTATTCTAGACCCCCAAGCATTCACTCTACATTCTCAGTCCCACCATATGTCTGATCTGAACTATATCCATCAGACCATCAACTTCAGACCTACCACGGAGATCCTAGAGACAAGGCATGACAAAAGGCAGCACGGTAGAACCTAACAAGGAGGATCTTCGAATGACTCTCCCATTCCCATATTTTGTTCCAGGACTGGACTGTTAACCAGAAGCACGGCAGCACCACCATGGCAGGCATCCCCACAACGGGGGAACCCCACCGGCCACCACAGAACACCGAGAAGCCCAGAGAGCAACCAACAAAACGGGGTCGGATTCAGGCAGAGGATATGCCTCCATCTGGCCCCCACTTTGCTCCCCGGCCGAGCCACGAATCTTGGAACCCAGCGCACCAACCAGCCGCATGAGCCTGCCTGTCTGAGGTCCCTGACCATGCGAACTAGTAGTATCTGATCATGCAGTGCAGCGCGAGTGAGCTGCGTAGAGTGGAGGAGACAAGAGATATTCGGATAAGAGAGGGACAGACACAGACAGTGTCATGACAAGGAGTGAGCGGGTGACGCCGCCACCCAATTACTACTCACTCCTGCCATTGGCCCCTTCCCCGCCGCTCATCCATCCATTCTCCTCTAGTCGAGGAATTTGTCGCGAAAAAAGCGAGAGAGAAAATCCAATCCTTATCTCTGGAATAGGATGTGGATTATCCCAAAAAAATTAATAGAATTTTTAGGGTTTAATTAATCTATGTACTTATCTAGGAAGAGAAACAGAGGAGAAATGAATGCGAGCGAGAGATTTGGGAGTACTCCTACCTATGTAGTTGAAGTGGAAGCCGAACTGCTGCTGCGGCTGCTGGTGTTGGTGGTGGTGGAGCTGGTGGTGGTGGTGCTGCTGCTGCTGCTGCTGCTTGGCGGCGGCGGCGGCGAAGTCGAGGTGCCGTCCCCTGCCGCGCTTCATGGCGGCGCCCACCGCGGACGCCGGCGTGTACTGCCCCGGCGCCACGGAGGTCGGCATGGGCGCGGACGCCGAGATCGGCGTGGCGTTGAGCGGGCGGATCAGGCTCCCGTCCGGCCCGTACTTGCGCGGCCGCCCGCGCTTCTTCGGCACCTTCATCAGCACCGGCCCGAGCGCCATCGCGCCGCTGCCTCCCGCCACCGCCGCCGTCGCCGCCGCCGTAGCCAGAGGCGGCACCAGCACGGCGCTCGAGCTACCCCTCTCCGCCGCCGCGGCTGGCGCCGCCGCCGGCTGCTGGAAGCTCACCGTCGCCTCTGGTGCCGCCGCCGTAACCGCTGCTGCTGCTGCCGCCGCCGCCATAGGCGCAGGCGCAGGCGCGGCACTCGCTTCCCCCGGCTTGGCCTCCATGCACGCAGCACCCGCACGCGCCCGCCTGCTCGTAGTCCTCCTCCTAAGCTTCCCGCCACGAGCAGTCGCCATTGGAGCTCACGCACACTCTCCCCATCTCCCCTCCTTTAGCAGCACCCGGGCGCCTCCCAAAAAAAGAAAAAAGAAAAATTTCCACCCACAAAAAAAAAATCCCCAAAAATCCCGAAATATTCCTCGAAAAATCCTCGCACCAGCGAAAAAAAAACGACGAGTAAACCAGCAGCAGCAACAGCGGGAGGAGGAGGAGGACGAAGCGGAGGTCGCGAGGCGAGAGAGGGGGGAGCAAAAGCGGGCGTCGGAAATGGGGGCGAGTGAAATAAAAAGCCAAAACTAAATAAAAGCAAAAAAGGCGGGGGGTGCCGCCGCGCAGGGGAGGGGCGAAATTGCGGGATTAAAAAAACGAAATAAATTAGGTTATCGGGGGAATATTAAATTATTTATTTAGCCACCCCAGCAGTAAAGAAACGGGGGCCGAAATTGTCGCGGTTTAGGAGCGGGGGCGCGGGGCCCAGGTGCTCGTCGTCCTTGGTTTTTAATGCGGGAACCCGAGGGAGAGATGCCCGTTGCTGGGCGCCGTGCCGTGAAGGCGTGAACCCGGGGGCAGAACGGGGAACGGAAAAGGCGCTTGGCGTCACGCGTGATCTAATTAATTAATTATTAAGTGGTGTTGGCATTGTTATACGGCAGATGGGGAGGTAGATTTACGGTTGTACCACTGAGGGCGGGGTTGACTGGTCGTCGGCTTGTCTGTCGCATTCGACGCGGGCGGGAGCTGCTGCTTGCTGCTTCCCGCGGGTCAAGCGTGTCAAAGCGAACAGTGACACGTCAGACGCAGCACAGGCACTGTGGGGATGGACGGAAACAGCTCGGATCCAAGTATCCAACGGGGAGGAATTCAACGGATTTTCGGTACAGCTTTTTTAGTTTTTTTTTTGCACCAATCCGCAGAGAGAAGAAAAACGGGTTTCGCCTACCTTTTATTTGTGGACCAATTTCAAATGTCGAATTCGATAAATAGTGCTGTAACCAATATTGTGTCGCGTAGTATCTTGATTTATAGCTAAAAAAACTATAATAGTACAAAGCATTTTGGAATCTTTTTTTAAATAAAAAATGATAACTAGTAGTTGGTGTCAAAATGATGTTCACCTCATTTTCCTCTTTTGGAAAAGTTTTTTTTTTATTTGGCCCTACCTAAAAAGCTTTGCCAATTTCTAAGAAATCCATAATGCTATATATAAGTGGGTTTAGTTTTAGAGCAAGTGGGTATACTGGTGGTGGTGGTGTGATTTTTCTCCCTAACTCAATAGGGTTTTATACATTTAAAATGAAGATTTCGTTCCAATGTGATGTGTTACTTCACTTGTTTGAAGAAATGCATCTTTCTAGATGTGGATGTACAAAAGTACATGCACAACATACACTAAATGAAACAATAATAAGAAACAAAGAATAATTAATGCCCACAACATGATGTGTTAGGCGCAAATTCAATACGAAATGAATACATATATGTACTAGCTCGAACCACCACCGTTTTACTCTTTTCTCTTGGCACAATTGGAAACCAAAGCATATCCTCCCCTGCTTTCATCCAATATCCAAACATATACAAGACAAAAACATGGAAAATAAAATAAAAGGCATGCGCCAAACTCCCCACCTAGAAAGAAAAACAATACAAGTAATTAGGTCTTGAACAAAGCTACAATTGTCATCATCATGTCTCACCTCATCAAATGGGCATCCATAAACTAATACAAAACAAATAAATAAAACCTCTCCCCAAAACAATGCTAGATATGCACACAAAAATCAAGGGACAATCATCATGTTAAACGAGAATAGTGTTTTATGTTTCCACAAAAAAAAAGTTTTTCACCAACCAAGCCCTACTTTTTTTCTTGTCCTGCTCCACCTGTCGAAATCCATAAATCGTACTACCCCTACCATTATTTTATCATATAGTAATACCATTTTATAGTAAAATTACCACTACAATGCGAAACATTTTGGAATATGAGTCACGGGTATTTTTTTATAAAACAAAATTAGTAGTCGCTATCTCAAATGATGCTAAGCTCATTTTTCTCTCTGTGAAAGTTTCTTTTGATCTGGCCATGCAACCCTTTTTGCAGCTTCCTCTATTAATTATTAAAATTTTTATTTTGCATTGGATTCTTTTTAAAACTGCAAACACAACCTTTACGAAATACTTCCATCTTTTGAGATAAATCAAGAAAAAAAAACAAAGAAATAAAGGCACTACACTTGATGATGTGCTAGGCGCAAGTTCAATGTGAACGGAATATATATATATATATATTTGGTAGCTGGAACCACCACCTTTTTACCTTTTTTTTTTGCACAACTATTTAAAAATAAATGAAACATATCGATCCTAGCTTCCGGCCAATAATCAATCTCCAAACATATACAAGACAAAACAAGCGGAAATCAAAGCCATGCCAATTGCCAAACTTCCCACTTACAAAAGCAGACAATAATGCAAGTAGCTGGATCTCAAACAAACAAACAAAGCTACAATTGTGGTCCTTATCTCTCACCCATAAACAACAAATATAATACAGAAAAGGATATATCAAAGCTCTCCCTAAAACAATGCACAAAACCATGCCAGAAACGGGCTTGTTCGCTTGAACTTATCAGTCGATTTATCACCTAGAAATCTACAGTATTTTTCTCTCACAACAAAACAGCTTCAGTCGAACTTATCAGCCGACTTTAATAATAGCCGTATAGGACATATGCTAGCTCCTCCTCCTATACTAGATGAGATGAGATGAGTAGACACAGGAGAAGCCAAAAGACAGCAGCAGCACCAACAAATGGCTTCTCTCCCTCCTTTTACTATTTTTTTTTCTACACCCTCAGAGTGTGGTTATTAGCTGCTGGACTAGATTAGCTTTGATTTTTTTTTTTTTTGCCCCCTCCAGTGCGTGGGAACGTGTCCCAGTAAAGCTAAGCAGTGACGCGCCGCATGGCACATGCATGCAGACATGCTTGTCATGTGCATGGAAGCGTACATATACATGCATCTGGAAATAATACTACTGCTCCAGCGCCACTGCATGCGTGCAGCGTGCATGTATACGGATGGGACTGTACCGTGAGTGGGACCACATGCCATCTGCGTGTCTGTTTGGTGGAGTTTCTTTTGCTTCAGATTTTATACGTAGAAGTAGAATTTTTGGCTGAAAAAAATGATTTTTATGTAATTTCTTCAGGAACGAACTCTCTAGCAACCGTGCTGTAATTTCTAGGGTTTGTGATGATCTTGTTGTTTCGCGCAAGCGCCTGAAAGTTGATCATGTAAACGGTCTAAACGACTGGCGCAATTATCTCCTCTCATGTAATGCTACAGCTCACTCCGGTTGAATGGAGTGATGACTTCGTTTGCAATAGAAATTTGGTGGGGAATCTCTCCCCTCCGTTTGGTTTCTATATATATATATATATATAATTATTCTATACATGAGGTGAATTAGAAGAAACTCTTTTTTCAGCTTCCGGTCTGCTAGTTTATTTCGGAGAGAATCACTTCCCAAAATTAGTATAGATTATTTCTCGGTAAAAATTTGTGCAGCAAAATTGCTCGTGGACTCAATTTTTGTGTAGCAAAGTTGCTCGTGGACTCAGGGCTTAGGAGTTAGTTCCCTGCTAAATAAGCACTGCATCTGCATATATATGCATGTGTATGGATGGTATGCCAGCAGTGCGAGGCGTAGCTTTTACTATACGTAGGCGCAGAAGTAGGTTACGTGCGTGCTTGAGCTGGACCGCAGCGCAGATCAGTCATCGGTCGGTGGTCAAAAGACTCGGCCGGCCGGACGGACCAGACACAGGCGTAGGAGTACAGCCGCATGATTGAGCACACACCGTACCATGTATGAGACTCTATCGATAAGTTCATGCGAACAGGGCGTATGTGTGATTGTGTGTGAGAGAGAGTCACCGGTCAGCTCTCCCTCTCTCAGCTTAGGACGACGGGTGTAGGTATAGTCAACGGTGTTACTAGGCGGCCCTGCGTGTGTCCAAACGTACGCAAAACGGAACGGAAGTCTCTGTTGAGCAGGAAACATGCATTGAACGACTAGCCTTGTCGTGAGTCGTGACACTGTGCTTTCCTCATGGATGCGCTGCTGAACCTGTCCCGGTCGCAGTCCCATACGTGACGGTCTGACGACAGCCGCTTTGTCGTCATCTCTGTGCTCTGTCGTCGTCTCTGTACGTGAGGGTTGCTGGTCTCTCTCTGAAAGTCCTCTCTACCTGTTTATGCTGATTTAATATTTTATGCTGATTTAATATTAAAATAAAATATTGTTTCTTCACTGGAAGGTGCAGTAGAACAGTGTGAAATACTACAGAACACGGATCAATGACCGGATCCTCAGAGGCATTGATGTTTTTTTTTTCTTTTTTCGTTAAAGGTGTGTACGTTGACGTCTGTGCAGAATTGATAATGGTCGGAGACGACGAAGCCCGTGTCAGCGTACGTACGTGGCCTCCTCTATCGTCCTCCCGCGCGCATGTGTACGTACGGATGCCATCTCGGACTGTACGTCTCAATTTCAGCGCAGTATCTATACGAAGGAGAAAGCCCTCTACCACCTGTTTCCGCTGCACGTAAAAGCAGCACACAATGATCTGTGAGAGGCGGCGAAAGCAAGCTGGTGTTTGTTGCTTATTAGGTCATTCTCCGTAGAGGTTTTATAGATACCTTTTAACTGGGGTGTGCCACATGATAAAAGTATTAACATGGCAAGAAATTTATTAAGAGAGAAGAGATGGATTTTATCGCAGTAAAACTAGATATACGTACATCATTTCCCTTTAAACTATGTCCAGTCACAAGCGCCGCATTAAATGCTAGGAAAAAGTCTACTTAACCCCCACCTTTCATACATGCAGCCTGTTCGGAAGGCCGTATCGTATCGTGGATTATTTACTGTTGGCTGGTTTGGTGTGAGAGAAAAACACTGTTCCCGGCTGGAAATTTACGATCGTTTACGAGCAAGCGAACAGGCTGA